CCAGGGTGTCCCTGTGCGCCCCAGGGTGCCCCGGCTCGGACAGGGTGCCCCGGGATGCTGCCCGAGCACCGTGGGAATGGGAGGAGGATGTGACGGGAACAGGCGGCTCTGGGGACACACGCTCCGGTCCCCACCCTGCTCCTGTCCCCATCCCGGCCCTCGGGGCGGCTCCGTCCCACCCCGCGGCAGGGCCGGGAGCTGCCTGAGCTCGGGTTTGTCCCCCCTGCGCTGCTCCAGCAGCCGGACACGGCGGGCTGGGGGACGCGGGGAAGGGATGCGACCGCCGCTTCTGCGAGTTCTGCCTCCGCACCCGCACCCTGCGTGTGGCCCGGGTCCCGGGGGAGGGTTCATCCTGCAAATCCCCCCCCGGCATTTCTCCCAGGAGGGGCCCCTGCGAGCGGGGAGCTCCCCCCTCGCTGGAAACCCTCCTGGGAAGCGCGGCCCAGCCCTGGCCGGAGGCGAATACCTGCGCGGGGCACGGCCTCCCCACGCTGGGTGCCAGCGGCCGGGCGCGGGGCCAGGCTGGGTGCGGAGGGACTGCGAGGTGCGTCCCGGCCGCCGGCCCCGCCGGGATGGGCGCAGGAGGGCCGGGACGGGCCGGCGACACACGCCCCACACACGTGTCCGCCCGGATCGGGCATCCCGACGGATGCCGCGGGGCACGGGAGCCGGGGATCCCCCCACCGTGCCGGGGAGCCCCCACCGAACACGGGAGGATGGAGCTGGGAGCGGGGGGGGGTTGAAGGCAGCAACACCCCCGAGCATCGCCGTGCCTCAGTTTCCCAGCAGCGCTGCCCGGGCAGGGTGGGTGCTGTTCCGCACTGATGTCCCTCTCCCTTCCCGCAGGATCCGGCCTGCCCGGCACGGCGCTGAGCACCACATGAGTGTCGGAGCAGCGTGGCCAGCGACGCGAGGATGGGGGAGAGCCCGGCGCGGTGGAGAAGAGCCCCGGAGGCAGCGCAGGACGCGCGGGGGATGGAGAGCAGCGCGATGCTTTTACCCCGAAGCGCCGCTGCCGAGCTGGGACTCCCGGCCTACCCGGAGCCCGGCCAACTGAGCTACGGCATGGAGAAAGGATGTCCCTGGAGGGGCTCCGAGGGATGTTTGGGACCCGTCCGGGATCTCGCCGGTGGCCGCCTGGGCTGCCCCTACCCACCGGCCCCGCCGTGCCTGCGGGACGCCCTGTGCCGCCCCAAGGCCGGAGCCGAGCTCGCCGCGCTGCCGCCGCCCCGGAACGGGCAGCCCAAGGCGGGTTGGGGGGAGCCCTGCAAGGGGCACCCGGGGCCGCGCTGGGCCGAGGCCGTGCTGGCCCCGCTGGCGCTTTACAGCCACGCGTACCACCGCTACCCGCTGCCCGTAGCGGGGCCGGACGCGCCGCGCCCCGGCACCGCCGGCAAGCCCCGCAGCGCGGCGGGGGACGCGGCCGGAGACCCCCCGGCTTTCCGCCACTGCCCCTTCCTCGTGGAGGCCAAGCACAGCCCCTTCCTGCTGTCCTCGCTGCTGCCCACCGGACCCCCGGCCGAGCCGCCGTTCGGCGGGGCGGCGGCGGAGGGGCCGGGGGCGGTGGGTGACGGGCGCTTCCCCGGCCCGGACTGGCGTTTGGGTCCCTACGCGCCCGCCTGGGGACAGCCCCTCTACCTGGGCGTCCCGCCGAGGGGCAGGGCGGCTCCGGCCACCTTGGGGTGCTCCGGCTCGGGGAACAAGGTAGGACAGCTCGGCGAGGCTCCGCGGAGCGATGCCCCGGTGCTCCCCGGGGGTGGCGGCGGCTCCAGCCGCACCCGAACGCGGCCGGCGAAAGGCAGGGCCTGGCAGCACCCCCGAGGGGTGCACGCAGCCACGGCTGGGCCGGGGGGTCGCAGCCCCCCGAGCTCCGCGGCGTCCCCGCGGGTGATGCCGCCCCCGGGCTGAGTCACGGCGCCGGGAGCCGCGGCACGGGGGCGGCGGGAGGCAGCGCTGCCAGCCCTGGGCGCGCCCGTCGCACCCCGCTGGAGCCGCTGCGGCTCCCCATTCCTTTCCCACGCTGGCAGCGAGGGGTCACGGGCACCCCAAAACCCAGCCCCGGGCAGCGGCAAGCACCGGGAGGCTGCCCGGCCTGGCAGGGCTGCGGGGAAACTGAGGCAGGGGGACGGAGCGCTCCCCGTCGCCGCCTCGCAGGGATGTTGCGGGGGGCAGAAGCGGGGCGGGGACCCCCGGCTGGGGTGACACCGCACCTCTGCTCCCTTCCAGGAGTTTTACGCCAAGAAAGGACCCGGCTTGCACCCCTCGACCAAGAACCACGCGGCGCCGCAGCTGCTGGGCAAGAGCCGAGCAGGGCAGGACAGAGGCGGGGAGGGGGAGCCGGCGGTGCCGGGAGCCCCGTGGGGGGATGGCCGGGCGGGGGGCAGCTCGGCGGTGCCCCCTCCCCATCCCCGCACGCCTCCCCCCTGCTCCAACCACCCCCTGTTCCTCCCGCAGCCCTCCTCGGGGGGCTGCGGGGGGCTCTGGGTGGGCGCACCGCCCCGCGGCGCCGGTTTTTCCGTGGACACCGGGCCGGGCCGGCCCTCGGAACCCAAAAATGAGCGCCTGGGCTACCGAAGCGCCCAGCCCGGCTCGCCCCCGGCATGCGGGGAGCCCAACCCCTCGGCTCTGCTGGCGGCCGGGCGCTTCCCAGCGGCTCCGGCCAAGCCCGAGCCACCCCCGGGCTGTCTGTGCCGCACCCCGGGCTGCGATGGGTGCCCGGGGGTGGGCTGCGGGGTGCCCAACCCCTTCGAGCCCACCCCGGGCACGGCCGGGGGGCGTTTCCCGTGCCCCCCCAGCAACCACACCAAGCTGAAGAAGACGTGGCTGACGCGGCACTCGGAGCAGTCGCTGCCTCGCTCCAAAGCTGCCCGGCGGGACGGGGGTCCCGAGCCCCCCGGGGAGGGCAAGCGCTCGGCCAAGCGGCCCCGCGGCACCCCCGACGGGCTCCGCTCTGCCGGCGAGGGCGCCGCGGCGGCCAAGAGGGGCACCGAGGCCACGGCGTGCCCGGGTGATGGCGAGGAGGGCGCGGGGGACCCCGAGGAGAGGAGGATGGAGCTGGGAGATGAAGGTGAGGATGAGCAGAGGGGCCGGGGAGAGGGCGGGGGCAGCGCCCGATCCCGAGGGAATTTTTGCATCGCGCTTCCCGGCGCCCACAGCACCAGCCGGGAACACGCGTGGGTGCGGGAACCCGCCGTGCCGGGCTTTTTGCCGGCGTCACCGGGTCTGGCAGCGATTTCCCAGGGTGGGCACGGATCGAAATGTCCCTTCGGGGCAGCGTGACAGCCTCGGGGGGCGTTGCCGAGGCAGCGGCTCCTCGGGGAGGTGTTGGCAGCCCAGCCCTACTTTCCAGCCCTACTTTCTGGCCCAGTTTCCAGCCCCCGCCGCGGCGTGCCAGTCACAGGATCCCAAAATCCCAGAATCTCAGAATCCCGGAATGTTTTGGGTTGAAACCCTAAAACCCATCCGGTCCCAACCCCTTGCCATGCCCAGGGACACCTTCCACCATCCCAAATTGCTCCAAGCCCCATCCAAACTGGCCTTGAGCACTTCCAGTCCCTTCCCAGCTGGTGTGGACGGGGCTCCGCGGGGTCCCCAAGTGCTTCCCGTGTCCCCAGAGCCACCGAGGGCGCAGAGT